TTATAGTTTATAGGTTAATTATACATACTTTATCGACTTGCAGTCCGTGTGCGATTGCCTGTTTAAGATTAACGTAATGTATAACGTACCGCTGTTTGGGTTTCAAAGTGGCCATGAGTTTGGTCTCTTTGGAACCCGGCGGTACATCGTTGACAGGCAAGAACGGCAAGTCGTTGTGCTCGTCATGCAGCTCTTGTGGATACGATACGTCCACTTCATATATACGCCCCGTATTACCAGTGTCCGACAACGATTGGAGGTCAGCCAGAGGGTCTGCTCCTTTATACCACCGGAAGCCACCGTACGGCATGGGCTGACTCATAGCCCACCCGTAAAGGTTATTGNGTAGCCCAACCATAAAGGTTATTGCCTGTAAACATTAAACGTTTTTAAACCACCGTTCAATTATTGCGCGTTTATATATGCACGTATAGATTACTTACAGTCTTGGTACATGATCCATGAGTCTGGTTTTGACGGATCGTAATCGGGTGTCTTCGGATTATGATTGTGGTATACCATAGCGTTCAAGGAGCTCCGAGGGCACATCGTCCGATGTTTTCACCATGAACCCATAGCTCATGGGATGGTGGGTGTGCACAGTCCTGGTGTATGTACCCATGCGATCGTCTGTTTTCTCCAGCAAGGCCTCAAAATCGGCGTAGATGACGAACGGTAACCGTTGCGTCTTTACCCACGCGTCAAATTCGACCTTACTGCCCTCCGCCGGCATAACGGGTAAAATAGGCTTGTTCTTGCCGCATATCAACTTGTGTTGCTCCAACGCTTGATGACCCCGAAGAATATGCTTTTTAGGCTGATCATCAAAGCTGGTGAAGCAACGTTTGCAAGTGTATATGCGATCTAGGTGTTTGGTTTTTTGGCTGCGCACAAGCCTCGAAAAATCAGAAATGTACGCGTAATGTGACTTTTCAGAGTCACCGATGTACAACAGGTCAAAATGATTCTGTTGCTCTTGGTCGGCGACTCTTAGCGGATACACCAACCACTTCATCTTATCGTCGTCTCGTTCCAAGCCGTACACGTTGACAGACACGTTAGGGTTTCGTCGCTCAAATATTTTAATTTGGGACACAGGTGTGGGGAACGTCAACCCCGTGAAATCATACCTGTGTTCCTCGTTAAAATATTTTCGATCAACGCGATATTTGTGGTCTCCCTTGACGTGTCTCGCCAAAATGGACCACTTGAAACAAGACTGATCGATATTCTGTGGGTTGATGATTGCTTTTCTTTGGTTAATCTCTGGTGGGACAGGAATATATGATGAGCCGGCGAGGGGCGTATACTTGTATACGCTGAGCATAAGGCCGTCGATATGCGTTAGCGTGAATCCGCTACCCCTACCCGAGTACGCGTCTTCCTCGGCAAGCATAACCTCAAAATCTTCATCGACCGCACACCCGATATCCGTATCGGATAGCAATGCCCTAGCCCGTGTCTTGAAGGCACGGTCTTCGGACGGTGCTTCTGATCGAGGTATATGGTATGAGGCCTCCAATTTGAGATTATACTTGATCGGCCGGTTACCTACAATTTCAGCGAGTCTGGCAACCAGTTCGGGTTTGTATATGTTTCATGTTGATAAAAAGTTATTAAAGTTATTTTTATGATTAATACTTGTATTTTATATTATATTTATAACTTTATTTAATCTCAAATATTGTTCGTGGTCTTCATGAACTCTCGACGTTTATCTTATGAAAAAAAAAAAAAAATCAAATCGACAGTAGTCCACTAAATCCGGGCGGTGATAATCTTAACGTTTTTTATTTTAGTATAAAATAAAACGGAGTTCAAAAAAAAAAGAACCAGTACAAAAAAAAAGTTATTATTAATATGATAAACTGTTTAACTATTTACTTTTAAATTTAATCTTAAATTACTTACTTTTTTAATTAATTACTTATTTACATTAATCTTAAAATCATACATATTAAATTTCATTACTATTAATATATATAACTATTTACTTAATGTCAATAAATTTTTTTTTTTCAACTGTGTATTTTTAATTTTTTTTTTGGGGGGGGGGTGCTTAAACTACACCACAGTTTTTGTGCTGAATTTGTTAATAATTAAATAATAAACGATTTTTGTATAAAATATGTATTCGTATCTCTAAATGTTTGTTAAATATAATGTAGTATTCGTAAATATTCCAATTTTGCAAATCGATAAAATATAGTATAATTTAAAATTTTGCTTGAAAACTAATGAGTTTAAATAAAATGTGTAAAGATTTAAACTTATAGTCCATAACATTGCCAACAATTTATATTCTATAATTTTTTTTCTACGATCGCTCATTTCCGAATTAAGTACAAAACATTAGAAAACTACCCCTATTGTCCATTTTTCAACCCCGAGTAGGCACGGGTTAAACTAGTCTGATTGACGTGAAATATTTTTTGGTTCGTTTTTACATGTATATAAACAAATTTGGGGGGTGAGACCAAGGAATTACCTAAGTCGAAAAATAAGGACCATTCTAATATATATATATATATATATATATATATCTTAGATTTTCAATAGATGGTACAGCCGATTGTAAATATTCACATACATTATGAAGATTTATTTTCATTGATTTAATACTAAATAAAACTTGTTTTAAAATTTGTTATTATATAGAAAGACTTAATACAAATTCAAAAGATTCCTGATTTTTATTTCTTTTAGCTTCGATGCGAAGCTGAGAAAGTAATGGTTTTACTATATGTATTTTTTTTTTTTTTTGCTTTTACCACATTTTCTCAGCTTTCACCGAACCGATTTCTTTCAATGATACGTCAAAAGATCAAAAATTGTATGTGGTCGAATACATTACCCTCAAAAATTAAAAAAAATTTCCCTCGTTCCCCGTAAATGGGTGGAACGTCCAAAAAAATTACAAATTTGAAAATCGCTAATTTTCGAAATTTTTTCATTTTTTTTTACTAAAAACCGCCATAACTTTTTTAAAAATGAAAACATCAATATAATTTTTTTTTTTATAGATGCTTGATGTCTTTACTTATCATTTGGTATATCTTTTTGTAAATCTGGCATATAATTTGGTCACAGGAGGGGATTTAAAATGACAACTTTTTCAACTTAACTTTTGAAAGTGTTCCGGAAATACTGACACTTATATATATATATATTAAATTAAAGCTAATGTAATATACTTTATAATGGAAAAACAAATTCCGAACTTTATTTTGTCTTCATGGTGAAAATGGCTACCAAATGCTATTTTTGTGTGAAAATTCTCCATTTTATTTTTTACATTTTTAATTTTATAATGCTATAACTTAATGAAAAGTGTATGGATCAACACAATTTTTTTATGAGAAATAATATTTTTTAATAATCCTTTTTTCATTCGACATATTTTATCTTAATCAGGATATTAATAAGGAACTAGCAGATCATGTAGCTTTTGGAATAATCCACCAATTTTTTAAAATTAAACACTATCTAAATATTTGCATCGAAGCGTTTTTTCTTGATAGTGATTTTAATAACTGTCAGATATCATTATACTTGATCCAACTATGCCACGTCACCACTGTGCCGCGACCCCCTGTGCTGGGTTTTTTTTAAAGAATTGATTTAAATGCTATCATAATGAGCTGTACCCATCTGCGCTATATAACCATTCAACGTATAAAAATGTATTTAATTCAATGAGTACTTGTCAACTACAACAAATTAGTTATTGAATTAAAAGTTATAAAAATGTTCAGTCACATTGTTCAATTCTGAATAAGACGGAAGGAAAAACTTTTAAATTAACATTTTTATTATAATAAAACATTTATTATTATACTTATATAATATCTACATTAAGAATTAAAATAATTTGTATTGACTTATTTCGTCAATATAATTCATGAAAGATCGAATAATATTAAAATCAAATCCATTGAAAATGGTTTTAATAAATTTAATATACTCTTTTGTATTTTCAATACTAAATACTTCAACTGTTGTATTAGATTTAAGGTTGTGTTGCATGAAACGTCGTTGATCATTTTGGTTTATTGTAAAAAGCTCTTTCCCATTCAATTCTATTGGTGTGTTGGCATTACATTCTAAATCTTTACAAAGCCCGAATGCAATCATGTCTAATTGTTGAATTAATGTATTCGTAAATGTATTAAAATAGAATGTAAGATTATCTAAATCAACAGATGTTCCTATTCTAGTCAAATCTCGAACAAAGTACTCAATGTTTGATTTAATGGTAAAAATGTATGAAACATTATCGGGATGCAACAAACTTACAAATTCTTCAAGTATTTCTAACCATTGTACAGTAAAATCTTGAATATACTCAACTTTTTGATGCATTAGATACATGAAATGCTTAAGGGTCAATCTCAACATGATAATTTGTAAGAAATCAAAAACGGATGTATAGTACACTTTGAATGGTAATAGATGGTCTTCATTCCAAGAAAGTTCATGTAGTTTATTATAGTAGTGTACTATTTTTGAGTCAGATTTTCCCCACATCACTTGGACGTTATACGTAAGCTGCAGATTTTTAGTTGTTTCCGAATTTTCTCCTAATTTTCTAAACAATATATTGTGACTATTAAACATGTCTATATTATCCACTTTAAGATTAGTATACATATGGTTTCTGTCTACCATAAATTCCATTTTATCACAATTTTGTTTAATTAATATGAAGTAATCTATATGTGATTTTTCAAAATCCTTACATTTGTTATGATAAATACTTTCTTTTGGACAATTGTTATTAATGATATCTTGTTTATACATACTTACAATATAATCACAGGTTTTTAATATGTTTTCAAGTATTAAGGAATTTATTGTCAATTTAGATGTCTTTGAATGTACAAAAACATTAACATCAACAATATTCGTATAAGCATTTAATAGCCACAAAGGACCAATTTCGATACCATTAATGCCATATATCGAACTTAGTTGTTTACTAACAACATAATCATACTTAGATGAAGTGAAGATAGCTATGGGTAATTTTGAGTGATTTGAATACATTTTTATATTTGATATAGATAGTTCCAAATGATGTAATCCATTATATAAGTATGAACATTTTAAATATCGAAGACAGTCAGCGGGTTCTACATCATACGGATAACCAGTCTCTATTGCATTAGACAATTTAAATGGTTTAACAAAGAATTCAATAATTGTAATGATTTTAAAAACTGTGTGAAATAACATATCTCAATTATCTACGGTAAAATAATATTTTGTTAAATAATAATTTTAACTATATACTTTGTACTAAAGTTCACTTTAAACGACGTTTAAGACTTATTAAAATAGTTAATGTATTAAATACAATTTTTTTATGAAAATAATGTTTTATGAAAAAGAAAAAATGTACATTTAAGAATTCTTAAATTTATTGTTGTTTATTCATTTATTTAAAAATAATTTTTAAATAATCATTATTTTAAACTAAGCAAATTATTATTTTTTTAAAGTAAATATCATAATTCTTAAAACTAATGTAGGGCTATCAAATCAAATTTTATTTTTTTTAAAGTTTTTATAAAAAAAATCGAATATATTTTACTTGGCTTGTCTATAATTACGTGTGCAAGATTCTCCAAATTTGATAAGACAAATATTTTCTCAAGAACTACTAAGAATTTTTTATTTTTGTAGAGAGAAAAAATATTGGGTTCAAAAAAATTTACGATAATATTTAGTTAAATAATTTTTTTTCATAACCGTTCCGCGTCGCTTCGAGATATACAGAGGCCTGTGAACCGCGTCCTTTAACAGCCATCGCCTACTATGGGTATATGGTAGTTTAACCCTTAAACAGTCGCGTGGGGGTCTAGCATTGCCCCACATGAATAAAAACTATTGTATTATATTGCATAAAAGGTGTACATAGATATAAATTTAGAAGATGATTTTTATAGTAATATTGAATCGATTTTCATAAATAAATACCTTCGAGAAAAAAATGTATGACTTAAAAAATTCATCAAAATTGAAATGGGTAAATTTACCCCCACGCGACTTATTTTTTTTTTGGACTTGTATTTTTTTCAAAATATCGTTTTATTGTAAATGCAATGTTTTAATCGATATACTATTGTGGAATTGGAATTTTATGGATCTGCTATCGACTGTACAATTAAGTTTTGAAAATAAATAATCTATTGAAAATTTCCACTACTCGATGATACGGAACAAATAAGAACAAAACATGTAATAAATACATCACGTCGCAATGTGGACACATTGATTATCGGTAATCGATGTGCTACTATGAACGAATAAGTGTATATATATATATATATATATAATAAAAATATTCAATTTAGAAAAATTATTATATAAATGTAAATACACATAAAACTAATAAATATAAGCCATGTTTGAGCTCATAGAAGTTTTAGTCTTAGTTACTATCGAGGTGGACATAATGTCCATGCACTAAGACCTGTTGGACCATTGTGCGCACCTCATACCGAATTGTCTTGATTCGGTTTACTCATCTAAGTGTTATCACCAAAGTGTTAATACATTATCAACTGTTTGGGCCGGGGGTATTAAATAGTAAAATACTTTACCCGGTCACTACGCCCTTTTTGCCAAATGGTCTAGCTTCTTGGTATACCACTCCAAGGCTGACCAACCTGTTAGTGTGTAGTGTGGTAATAGAGTCACAGGTGATGGGAGGGGTCGCCTGCGCAAAACCACTGATCTATGTAGTGTTCAAGTGTGTACTGTGTGTATATATGTTTTTGTGTGTACTCTTAAACTAAATAAATAAATAATTTAATTGCACTTAACACAGATATATTAATAAAATCGGAATACAACAATCAACAGTAATAAATAAAATATAAAGGATAGCCCTTCTGGCTCAACAATAATAAAATAAGTTTAAACTCTGAAAAATATTATACACAATAAACCTATAAAAAATCTAACAATGAATACAAACTATTAAATAAATAATATATATAAAAAATTTCTTTGATTTAATTTCAATTATATGCTAAAGTCCTTATGACTGTAATCCCTTTGCCTTATGCGCGAGGATGATAATATAATACAAATTTAACTCAACACACAACAATTTGTTCAATAATTCAATTTACACTAATAAGACTAACAAATATGTATATGCAATTGTAAGATAAACTTAAGTTACTTATACTACAATTTATAAACTCAATACTCATAGTGAGATGATTAATGCAAACTGGCCAGCTGCTCTTAACACTAATATCACACAACTAAATATAATACAATAGAACAGACAGACCACAACACACAATTTTTTCCAACAAGTAATACACAGAGTCAATACAATAATAGAAATAGTTGATCACAAATATTACAGTTCAAGTTAGAATATCACACTTTTGACTAGATTAAATAAACAATGCGAGGCCTATGGCTGTAAAATATAACGAATAATTAAGAAAAGAATTGCACAAAAAATTTCTCTTAAAAATATTCAAACTATTTTTCAACAACTCAAAAAAAAACTATAACTATATTACAACTCTAGCCTACAAAATTACTGTGTTATGTTGTGTGTAACAGGTGGCCGGCTGATTGATAACATTGCTGAAACCGTTATCAATCGTGGTAGTGGTTATACTGTTGTCGCGCACTGTTAGGAGGGACTTAGTATCATTAGCGGTATGGTGAAACGTATTATAACGTTTTACGTGGCCTCAACACCAACTATAAAGTCACCTCTAAAGATGACCAAAGAGTCCTGTCTTTCTGGCGAAATTAAGTATCTCTATGGGTTTTAGGCTTTTAATATCTTCTTTTTCAGGAAAAGGTTTATTCAAGTAGTTTGATCTTAGTGTGAACAAAGCTTCAAATTTGCACAAGATGTGAAATGAGTCTTCCTCTTCTACTCTACACTTCCTGCACAATGGTGATTCCGATACCCCCATTGCGTTAAGATGTTTAAGCAGGTGGCCTTGTCCTGTCAGTAGACCAGTCAGGGTGCTTATTTGATGTCTAGTCATGCTATTAAGATCACCCAGCAATAAACCAGGGGTCTTGATAAACATTTTAGATTGTCTAGGTACTACCAAGTACTTCCAGATTTTCCTGTGTTGTTCTCTGCACCAATTCTTGGGTAACGCTTTGAGCGATTGCTCAGTGANAGGTAGCGCTTTGAGCGATTGCTCAGTGAGTCCTACCACGGGTTCTGGTCCAACATAGGTGTTCTCTGCTCATTTCCTGGCTAGAATTTCAGCATTCTCATTTCCAGTGACACCGTTGTGTCCCGGTACCCACGCTAGTGTAACTTTGTTGAACCTCGATAGTGATTCTAAAGTTTCCCTGTATTCGAGGATTTTTTATAATTTCTATGTTAAATTTACAATACCAAATTATTGAATATCAATTTTATACTAAATTTAATTACTATAATAAGTATTGATTCATACACTGTATCATATTTAAAAATCAAGGAACTACTAATCAAAATAAAATTAAGAAAATCAAGTTGATTAAAATTTCTTTTGGATGAATCCACCAATTTCTTAAAATTATACACTAAGTACAGATTTGCTTCGATACTTATAATAGTAATTTTAATTAATGTCAATCAACTCGTTTTTTTGTTTCTTATTTTATTGCAGCATTGTCCCAAATATTCATAATTTTTATTCCAAGTAATATTTTTGGCACATAAAAACAACAGTAGGAGAATCTCAAGGAAGGCATATAGGTTAAGTTTAGGAGTAAAAAAATAAAAGTTAGACACGTGTTTTGCAACATTAATAAATATTTATTATTCTTTAAATTTGTTTTGCTGATTTCAAATCTGCTATTAGAATTTATCTATCATGTTTAGTTTATGAGATATTAAAATTTGTAAAAACAGTGAAATTACACATTAAAAAAAAAAACACATTATAGTAAAATTATTAGCTTACAAATAGATACCATCTATACTTGTCCCAACTATGCCACGTCCCCACTGTACCAGATTCCATACAGGAATAGTATTGCCGGCGCGTAATGAGCGTAGCGTGGGGTGGGCTGAATGCGTTATGACAGTCTAGTCTAGACG